TTATTTGTTTATGTTTTGTAACCCATTAATACTCTATAGTAACTTTCAAAAGGACAGAGAATGTGGCTGATCTAAACTTTATTTTCCCATTAGCATCTAGTACAGTGTTGCGGATATAGTAGGTGCTAAATAAATGTTAAATTAAATTTTCTGTGCCGTATTTTAAGGATACTCGTAAATACTTTTATACAACAACCAACAAGACTTATCCAATCTTGGGTTTTATTCTGAGGGGTCAAGCTTCTAGGAATAAGAAATTTCCACTGTATTTTGCACTGGCCAGAGGACATTCAGAGTGTTGTTTTCAGATCTAGACACCACAGTTTAGGAAGGGCATAAGTAAGCTGGTGAATGTCCAGAGTTGGGGATTGGGAGGGTCTTACATTTGTGCCATAAAAGGATTAGTTGAGAAAACTAGGATTAGGATTAGTTGAGAAAACTTGTTTAGCGTGGAAAAGAAAAGACTCAAGAGAGACATAATAACTCTTCAAGGATGTGAAATATTCTCTAGTGAAAGAGAGATTAGACTTACTCTGTTTGACTGCCCCCAAGAGGGCAGATGTAAAAGCAATGGAAGTTACAAAGCAACCAATTAAGGCTTGATATAAGAAAACTTTTCCTAACAATGAGTCTTATTTTGTAGTATGGGTTTGATATTGACCCCCATCCCTCAAATGTCTCTGTGATGAGGATGGATTATCCATCTCACTGTACCCATGCTGGTAGGTTGGAGTGTCTTCCTAAAGTTATGGTCATATGGCTACAACTCACTCTCAGGATCCTAAGGATAACTCTAGAATGGATAAGAGACACTATACATTTACTACTCATAGCTATAGTTCTTGAGGCCTCCACCAGTGTGTTTCCCATTTAAAAAAAATCAGATGTCACCATTAACTCTTAATCATGAAACATTTACTAAACAAGAAGGCAAAAGTAACCATAAAAGTAATAATAATAATGATATAACAATGCCCCTATACCCTTGAGTCATACTCTCCTACCAATGCCCACAGTGTTCATGGGGGGAGAGTCAAGCCAAGATAGCAAACATTTATTAAGTGCCTACTATGTTTCAGGTACTGTGCTACACACTGGGGATGCAAAGAAAAATAAAAGACAGCTCCTGTTTTCAAGTAGCTTACAGGCCAATAGGGGAGATAATATGCAAACAACTGTATACAAACAAAATATATACAAGATAAATAGGGCATAATCAATAGAGGGAAGTAACTAGTATTAAGAGAGATTGGAACAGGCTTCTTACAGAGGGTGGAATTTTAGCTGAGACTTAAAGGAAGCCAGGGAAGTTAAGAAGTGAAGATGAGGAAGGAGAATGTTCCAGGCATGGGAGACAGAAAGTGAAGACACCCTGAATAAGGACATGGAGTATCTTGTGAGAGGGACATCAAGGAGGCCAGTGTCACTGCATCACCAAGGACACAGGGGCGATGGAGGTGGGAGTGAGGAGGGTGGTTGTTGGTGGTAGTGTGAGGAGTCAGAAGCCTTGAAAGATGGTAAGGGGCCAGGGCTTAGAAGGCTTTTAAAGCCAAACAGCCAGAGAAGTGTTCATAGACTTGCAAAAACCTAGTGGGTCTATGAATAGGGAAACCCACATGTCCAAGGCAACTCACAAGGTAGGACCATAGGCCCTCACATCTCATCAGGAAACAGTTTATCATGCCTAACCCTTCGGGCAAAGTCATTTTTCTTGTTGGCTACTACTCTCAAGCTGTCAATGTAATGTTGAGTTCTTTCTTTTCTTTTTCCTTCCTTCCCTTCTGTTCTTTTTCTTTCTTTCTTTCTTTCTTTCTTTCTTTCTTTCTTTCTTTCTTT